CCACCACCACCACCACCACCACCACCATTTGAAGACCATCGGCATTGACAAAATCACCATCCGTCAATTGCAAAAGGCAGCTTTACTTGGAACAGCTTCCATCCTGCGACGATACCTTTGACACCATCAAGCAACAACATCTGCCTATCCCAGGTCCTTGGGAAGGACTTGATAGGTGGATAAGAATGCCAAATCCAGTCTAAACACCTGGCTGACTGTGCGACCAACAGTAATAATTTACTAAATTTATATGTCTCCCACCTCCCAGTGACTCTGGGAGGTTCAGTAATAATTTATTAAATGCATACTCTTTGTGAATGTAATTGCAGAAGTCTTGCTATAAGGATGGTAAAACATGGCTGGAGTCCTGAAGGAATACCCTCAACCACCCTGAGGCCAGAAACTTTGCGTACTGACTTGCTTCAGCTCTGTTTTGGATTCGCAGGTGGCCAGTAAGGAGTTTGTGTGTCGAACTTGCCTGACGAAGACCTTGAAGAAGCTTGAAGCTATGATGACCATTCTTCAAGGGGAGACCCTGCAAGGAACCATGACACCCAAGGCCATCGCTGACGACATCCTCAACATCATGGGTGAGCCCGCCGGAGGAGGTCTTGGGGTGAAGGAGATAAGGCTGGCTCCAGAAGGGATGGAGACCAGGTGCCCCCCTCGCTTCTCCGAACTTCACAGTGGGGTGAAGGAGGCATCTCTCTGAGCCAGAGACAGGGCTGGGGTGAGAGTCCCCATGGGGAAAGGAACCCTTCTCCCCAGGGGAGCCGTTTCCAGAGCAGGGAAACGGGGCACGGAGGCTCAGCCCAGCCCCTGGCAGGGAAGGGCTGGGCAGGGAAGGCAGCCCAGGCTCAGCTGGCCTGAGGAGACGAGGCACGAGGAGGTGGCTCGCCCTGTTCCTGGCATCTCCTGGGTGAGATGTGCTGCTGGGGGCACCCAGGCCCAGCCACACGGTCTCAGCATGAGGAGTAGGATGTGTACTTGCCATTGTTTAGGAGCTGTGTGCCAAGCCAGCAGCCCAACACCAAGAGAAAATGAAGACGCCCAGTTAGTTATGTATGGAAAGATAGCAGTTCTTTAGAGAACGTGGAGAAAGTTCAGCTTCTTGGTGCTGAGAGGAAAATTGGGCCTATTGAGAGAGGATTCCTATTTTAATGGGCATAACTTGCCTTTGCTGTTTGTGGCTGATAGTTACACTTTTTGTGTATCAGAAATGGGAGCCTGTGCAATGACAAATGCCAAGCCCTGTTGCAGTTCTTCAGAGCAGAAAGCAACACCGGCGGTTGAGGGTGTCCGCAGGGGGTGGTCAACAAAGGCGTCGTGACAAAAGAAATGGGCTGCTTCGACTGCACTGGCCTGGCTGTCCACCCCCTGTGGACGCCCCTGCCAGGAGCAACGGACTTGGTGCCACCAGAGAGTCCTCTCCGTCCGACCTGGTGCGGTGGGGAAGCAGCAGCGCCTCTGCGCCTCCGTTGCTGCAAGCCACCCAGCGGTGGAGGGGAGGCAGGCTCTGGCGGGCAGCGGCTTGATTGGGCGTGGGGTTGGTGAAACTTTGCAGGGCCAGCAAGGCCTTCTGGCACTGATTTTGGCGGGGCCTTTTGCAGGAGGATTTATTCACCCCCTCAACGCTGT